CAGCGGGACGCAACGCCCCGTCTTGCGGCAGCCTCCTGACTGTTCCATGTCCCAGCCCATGGTTGCAGCCACTTTCCAACCCGTCTCATCGAAGGCCTTCCTGCTCTTGCTGCCTCTCCACTTTACCATGCATGGCCGCCTTCTCGGGGACAGATCTCTTCCGACAGCTCGTCCAAAGTCTCACCGTCCTTGCTTCCACAGAGCAGGCCGGCTGCACTTCTTCCCAGCGAGTTGTGCTGGCTCTTTGGGTAGTCCATGGTACTTCCAAGATTCTTCCCCGGCACCATCATCTAAATGCATCAAGATTCTTCCTCGCCCTCCCTTCTTCAAAGTCCAACTTTCTCACGTGCATAGGAGATTGAAAATACCATAGCTCGGGTCAGACTCACCTTAGTCCCCAATAACCTCCTGCTTTTCAACACTTTAAAAAGCTCTTGTGCAGCAGAGCTACCCAATGCCATCCATCGTTGCTCTCTTGCCTGCTGCTTCTGTGAGCACTTGCTGGATGATGACTCGTAGCAAACCTGTCGGACAGGGCAGAACTGCCCCTGTGAGTTTTTGAGATGGTAACTCTTTACAGGAGTAGAAAGCCCTGTCTTTTTACCTAGCACGCAACAAACATTTTCCCTGTCCCATCTGTTCCTGGCTCATGAATTGGCTCGCTGGTGACAGGCGGCCTGAGTCCGTCACTGCAGGAACAGAGGCACCTCGGGAAAACCAGCCATTGAAAGCCCTCTGATGCTCAGCTCTGTTCTCACACACACGGTCGCTGTGGGCTGGGGCCTCCGAGAGTGCACTGACTGGCTGGTGTTTTGGGTTTTTTTATGGGGAAAAAACATATTTAATTCATTCCTATGATCACCATATCAACAATGCAATGAACATAAAACAAGACCCCAAATTATGGTATTTTTTTAAAAGAATAAAATCAGAAAATATGAAATTTGAGATTAAAGTTTATAAATTTTTAAAATGTATTACATGAAAACCAATAAATAAATGAATTGATAAAGCACTGCCATTGAATCAATTGTGACTCAATTCTACCCTCTAAAGCAGTGTAGAAATGCCCCTGTGGGTTTCAGAGACTATAATTTTTTTAAAAATTTAGTAAATCATTTTATTTGGGGTTCTTACAGCTCTTAGCACAATCCATACATAAATTGCATCAAGAATATTTGTACAGATATTGCCATCATCATTTCCAAAGCATTTTCTTCCTATTTGAGCCCTTGGTATCAGATCCTCTTTTTCCCCTCCCCCCCAGACCCCTTTCATGAACACTCAGAGAATAGCCACTTGTCCAATTCACGTAGGTTTCTCTTACTGCGGGGAGGGGCTCTCAGGAAGTTCATGGGCACATTCCAGTATCCTTCACCCAAAGTTTCTGCCTGTTCTTCTCATTTATACTCTGATAACGCCAACGGATGCTTCCTTGATTTCGCACCTGCCTCGGGTCCCCTTTGGCACCGCGGCTCTCGGCAGTCACACATGGAGACCTGTGTGCAGAGCGGCAGGCTCCAGAGGGTTTTCAAGGCCGCTATCTCAGACGTAAAGAACAGGCCCACCTTCAGAGCTGCCTCTCCGACCAAATCTTGGTGCCATCAAGTCAACTCTGACTCATAACGACCCTTTAGGACAGGGTAGAACTACCCCTTCAGGTTTCCAAGACTGTAAATCTTTACGGGGATAAAAAGTCTTATCATTCTGCCATGGAGTGGCTGGTGGATTTGAACTGCTAGCCTAGTGGTTTTCAGCCCAATGCATAGGCCACTACACCGCCAGGCCCCTAGAGAAATGTCTAGACAGGTTGAACTGCCAACCTCTCTGCTAGTGGGCCAATACTTACCCTCCAGGGGACTTCTCTTTGACAAGAAGACTCAACCCAAGCAGATACAGCACCACGGAGTCGATTCCAGCTCAAAGAGACCCAAACGAGAGTTTCTGAGACTTGAAATCTATATGGGAGCTGACAACA